AGCACATCATCCGGGACAGATTTAAAAGGGTATTAAAACTATCATCATAAACAAGCAGCAGCTCACAAGATGATAAATGGGGATATACTATATTTCCAGAGAAGTTAAGCAGAAAGAAATTATCACATTTAAGGTGAATTATCAATGTGGCTAAACTGATATTTTCTGATATATTCAGCGCTGGGCATGCTTCTGAAAAATGACTAATCTTAAAAGATACATCAATATGCAAGTTATACTAGCTCATAACTTCATGTCCCCATTCTAATTCCAGAAATTTCGAAATTTTTATTCCATTTAATTATAGGGCAAGAAGGTCGAATCTTGAAAAAAGCAATACAAGATAACAATTGACAAATGAATAAAATTCTGATAACCTCAAAGTTAATCCGAGGTATGTTCAGGAAGAAAAATCACTAACGGATCGCATACCACTTAAAGCAAAATTTAATCGATGGCTCTATTAGGAAATCGTTACAAATGATATTTGTTAAACAAGCAGCCAGACCTGGATACCAAGGCATAGTAGATCTGCAAGCCTCTTCAAGGATATACGTGAGTAGTATTTTGAGACAACAAGGATGTTCTGCAAGGAAATACACTTCTTATAGACAAATGTTACATATCCAAAAGAAGTAGATACACTCAAACTGCTATATGAAAATGGCAACAGTATTATTAAAGCAAAAGATCAAATTAAACAGCATAAATAAAATGTGGCTTATTACATGTTCTATTACTCTCAGTCTGAGGTCTTCAGCTGCTTTTTCACCCAAGGAACCACCCAGCATGTTGTTCTCATTCTCAAACTCAACTTTGAAAGTGTTCCATAGAGATGTCCACTGAATGACCTCCATGGTAACTAATTGTTTGAGCAGTAATCTAATGACAGAGCAAAAGAACANAAAAAGAATCAAATGGAGAAAGTTCTAAAAACTTCAAAGTGCTTGCCTAAACTGAGGAATTTCTGAAAGATTCTTGTCCTCGAGGGTTGAGTTAATAAGACTAGACTGCATAGGATCATGTGGTGATAAGACCAAATACCAGCATATTTTCCTCAACACCTGCAACATATATAATTAATGCAAAAGTCCACAGGAATGAAGATGGCATACAGATTAAGTGAGGTGAAAATGCACAGAATGTATTTTATGTACTACTGGAGAATGATTAGAACAAATAAATACAAATAAGAGATACTTCACCGGTATCCATTGCGATGGGTCTTCTTTCACTGAAGGAATCTCATATATTGCCTTGTAACATCGGCATATTTCAAGGTAATCATTACTATGTGAGTGGTACCTACACCAAATGGTGATCAATCAACAAGTATTCAAGGCATGTGGAAGTCATTACTGAATAACATCAGAATATTGATCAGCACAAGCAGAGACATATTTACATAAACAAATAAATGAGGGATTGTATATTCTAGTGTTTCCATCCAGGATCACAACATAGAGAGGCTATAACCAATTCGTGTCATCAAGCAGGACGCATAGGCCATGTAAGGGTGACTCGTATAGCTTCACACACACACACACAAATGAATTTTTCTTTGGGCAAGTTCTAAATGCCAAGTTAGCAAAATTAGATATAACTTTGCATCTAATGTTATTTAGCATGGAAAGAACCTTGCTTGATATCATTAACAACCACAGTTGCCGAAATTAACAATGCTCATTGAACTTATAATTTTAAATTCCACAGCTCTATGGCAAACATGATTCAATTGTTTGTCATTTGATATCATTATTGATTACAATGGCCTACAATATAAATGATTGTTAAACATATTGAAAATGAACTGAACAGGATAATGTGACACGCCACTGCCGTCATTAGCAAAACGTGTGAAGTTTCAAGATATAAACAAGATCCAACTTGAACGACAAAGATCCCCCCTCAAATTCAACTAATGATGACATGGTAATTCAAATGATATTGAAGTTTTTCGCAAAACATGCATCAAATCTAATATCACACTAAGATTAATAAGACTTTATTGTCATTGACCTGTCCTCTCTATTTGACTGTGTCTGCACACTGTTATTTGCTAAGATTTCTGCATGCATGACATGTACACATGGACATGTGCTTGTATTCCAATTAAGAGAGACCTTCACTAATGATCCGCAAGTACTAAAGATTATTTGGAGGAAGTATAAACTAATGTCATGCATACCGGATCATTAATTGGTAGTAAATCTTCTTCAACTCCAACAGCGATGGAATATCGGCGGGAGGCTCTTCAACTACACTTTCACCTTCTTTAGGTTTTTTCTTCTCTTTAGAAGTCTCAGCTTCAAAAACTCTGGGACTGATCTTTCTTGAAAGTATTTGTGCACGCACATAATCTTGGCGATCTAAACACAGACGAACCTACAAGATTTGAAAATCAAGGTATCAAATCATGTGTAAGTATCCAACCACAGTTTCTATATCAGATGAAGGTAAAAAGAGAAGGCTACATACTTGTTCAAGAATGAATGCTGTTTTCTCAGTTTTTGCCATTGCACCAAACGTCTCCACCTGTAGTCCACACTGTTAGGGAGCAACTGGAGAGGAAGAATAAACTTGACAAGCAGCTAATAGCTTGTTCGGTAAGTGTTTATAAACAATTTAAATTATGGATTAATAGAAACCAGTGGTGAATAAGTGGATAGTACTTGTAGTTGTAGGTCTCATGAAATGCATGAATAAAAAGTGGTTTGACCCTTGATAAAGGGTTCATAAACACTAGCCAAACATTCGCTTAAATGCACTTAACGGAAATGAGAAGCCAATAAACAAGATTATCATCCACTGACCGCAATTTCTTGCATCAAATCAGCGGCCTCAGCTATTAGTCCCTGATCTTCTTTAATCTTTGCAAGTTTCTTAATCAAGCGAGCTCTCTCTATCTCAACATATATCTGCCACAAGGTGCACCGATTCAAGATATTAGTAGAGAATAAATCTTCAAAATATGAGAAGACCAAAACATATTGTGCATGGAATCATGTATGAATAATCACCTTTCCTGCAGATACGCTATTAAGTGTCTTTATGAGCTCTGTTTTAGTATCAAGATCTGGTGTCTGGTCGATATACTGCATTGCTTGTTGGACCATGGCTTGTACAGCCTGTATTACAACATGTTAAAACCAAATGGGATGCCGCCTCAAACAATGGAAGGGGCTTAAAAACATTACTTATCAATATTCTACAAAAAAGGAAAAATATCTTCGTTTTGATATAGGAAATACAAATCTTACCACTGAATAACAACAATTTACATGTTAGTGAATAAAATAAGTTTACATAAAACCATACCTAAAACAAATAAATCAACAGTATAAACTGCAGAGCAGAACATGTAGATACACATGTTTTACAATAAATCAGGTATATCAGTACACATGCCATGACTAATTGTCCACCTGCTCACACGTCTGTCTATAAATATTAAGCATAAAATATTGAAACATAATTAGCTCCCTACCCATACAGAAATGCACATTATTAGTGAATATTCATTAAAATGTGCACCTTGGTGATGCATGCAACAGTATGTTGATGTCTACATAGAGATCAAACCTTCCAATGGAAAATCCTATCAATGTGGAAGCTATTAAAATAATTCAAGGGATTATTCACTAGAATTCAGACAGCAAGGTTAAATGAAAACTAGAGATATCCTGACATTTAGTATTTTAATGTGCTTTGAGCATTTGCCTGTGATGGACAATTGTGAATGGTGAGTGATCTTCATCTTTTAGTTCTGTTTACACCATTTTATTTGAGAGAGAGGG